TCATATCCTGAGAATGAATAAAAGTCAAAAGGGCTTGCCATAGGAATACACTTGTTTACATATAGCCCAAGGGAAACAAGAACACTCAAACCGTGAACACTATTTTTAGGCTCTGAGGTAAATTATCCAGTCAATTAATAGCGGCTATAAAAGTGATGTCCACTGATATACGAACAATATTTAAACATTTTATTATTGCCTCCTAGCTGGTTATAGAACAGAAACTCTGTAAAACATAGAAAACTTACCTTTTATCGTGTAAAGCGCCGAATCTGTCTAAAAACCGCCAACACAAACAAGCGGAGTGATACAAGCAAAGTGAAAAGTCGCGAAACGCACTTGCTCGGCCAATCAGATTCGAGGACTAACTTAAGGGTTAATTTTTGAAACAGATGGAACCTCATAGTATTAAAGTAATAATATCAAAACAATATTAATGTATTTAGTGTTATTAGATCTAGCTATAACAACAGTGACAAACTGAACAGTTGCTCAGTTGTAGCTATTACTGTGCATATCACAGTAAAACAGTTCTAAAAAATGAGAGAATATCTAACATGTTAAGCTTAAGTAGGCTACTTAAATTAGAAAATAATTCTTACTTAAATCACAAAAGTTAATTTCCGCATTTCTGTGTACATGCAAAGTAATTTCGTAGGCCTATCATGAACATACTGTATGCAGTCTATATAATTGCTTGAAAGATAAAAACACATCCACTCAGTTAAATGCAAACATGAACAGTCACTTATCATCCTATTAAGTGAATGAGTTTATTGTTTCATTTTTCTCTCTGAAATTGCTCACAGTTATGATACAAGGGGATTTTTTTTTTACAACTTTAATGCATGTTCCTGCTCTGCATGGACTTTTTTTTCTTCTTCATTGAAGTTTTGCTTTATAACTGTATAAAATAGGAAAGTTAACAACAGGTATTGCTTTATTATTGTTTCATTTAAACAAGCTGTCTGTAAACGGGGCCGTGAACATCCGAAACGTTCTCGTTCGAGGTACATGGTACAGATAAAAGGAAGCATTTTATAAACTTATAGCCTACCGTGTAGACACTGCAAGTTAGTGAAAGCTGCGTCACGTTGCTTGCTTACAACGTAGATAGAAGAAAACATGACTGGAAAATAGGAAGAGAACGAAAAAAAAGTTGCAGAGAGACGAACAGAGGGAAAAAATGTGAAGGCAGGTGTTTTTCTTTTTTTCCCATTAAACAATGTAAGGAAAGCTGTTCTGAGAAAATAGCGTGATTTCTGAGAATTGTTACATCAAAGCCATGCAAAGAAAATGCGTGCATGCACACAGCAATACAAGTCAAAAGCAAAGAGCAGGAATGGCCTTCGAGTTTCCCAAAGGCCACCACATCATATTTACAGTAGAACTGATCCAAGAACAGCTTTTGTGTCATCCATTGTACACACACAATGATATGAAGCTGACATTGATATCAAGAAGTTCAGTTCCTCCCCACAGAGGCTAAACTACATTCTTAAATTACTGTTACATTTGCTTTTTTGCGGTTTGTATGTTTTTACATACTATTTTGTTCTCTTTTGAAGCTAGGAAAGAAAGATTCGTAAAGTCCACGGTACTTTTACAAATCAAGACATAAGAAAGGTTCTTTAAATGAACAAAACTGTGTTGCCCTGATACAAACAAACACATTATTGTCATAAATATCACACAAGTTCTCATATATATATATATATATATATATATAATTAGACGATAATAAATAAGGACAGAGATAAAACAGAAGGAGAAATACAAAAATATCCACAATGTATTCAACATTTTTGTATCTGCTGGTAGCGAACATGAGAATGATCAGGAAAAAAGTAAATAAATAAAACAGACAAATCACTGTATATCAGTGTTTACCGAAATCGATTAAATGAAACAAATTGTTCCATCACATAATAAATACAGAAATAAAAGGGTTAAATAATAATTAAATAAAGACTGGCAACACAATATTTCAAATCTGAATCTACAACAGACCTAAAGCTAGTGTCACATCTAGACATTTTATTTGTACATAATTATGTTCAATCTGTACAATAGAGATTCATTCATTAGGATAAATTCATTCAGTACTATTCCCCCCACCCCAACCCAAGTCCCAAACTCACTGAAATCCATGTTTCAGTCCTTTTGCAGCAATGATTTCAGATCAAGTGATGTTCTTCAAACATAAAGTCATATATAAATAAAAAAGAGAGCAAATGGAAACGATACAATTTAAGAAGTCCACATCCTCCAGGACAAGCTCTCAAAGTCATCTTTTCCTTCTTGATTTGTGTTTCGTTTTTTTATTCTATGGTCTTTATGAATCGTTTTTTATTCTATGGTCTTTATGAATCTGAGTCAAACATCCAAGAGTTGAGTGTGTGCTTATGTCTAGTATTTTATATGTGCATCTGTTCCAAACCTAGTGAGCTGCCTTCTAAAGCACAATAAACAATTTTACAAATATTCTGTTTACTGAAAATTTGTCTTAGATGGCAAAATCAAGGCAAAAATTTTGCATACCAGGAAATCGAGGGGTTATGACGTCATTGGCAGGCGACACAATGACACTATGGACACGGTCCGTCTCACTAGTTAAAATTGCTTATTTCTCTGGATTTAAACATTCTTCGAAACATTTAGGATAATGTAAGTACACAAGTCAGCAAAATATATAACACTGCTCTAGTGGTTTTTGGATATTTTAATAAAAAAATCGTACATATTGTGCCTTTAAGGCAGTTTCTTAACTCATTTGTAACCCCCAAAATGCGTTTTAATAAGGAAGCTTATTTTCAGCAGAAAAAAAGTTAGACCTGATTGCGACTTTTTATGTAACAATTCTGACAATTCAGAAATGTGAGATATAAACTCGCAATAACGAGAACATTTTTTTATTGCTAGTTTATAACTTGCATTTGTGAATTCTTTGAAGTTAGAATTGTGAGATAAAAAACTTGCAATTGCAAGAAAAAAATCTGAATTGTGTTTTGTTTTTCTGCCATGGAATTGTGAGTTTTTATCACAATTCAGTCACAAGTCACAATTACCTTTTTAAGTTTTTATTCCATGGCAAAAATAAGCTTCCATAATTCAGAAACAGCAACTCTGTGTAACACACATCAAACAACTCGATTCTCAATAGATTCAGTAAAGTTTGCCATTAGCATGTTGCTAAATTAACAACTTCCCTCTTCATAGGAAGCAACTCCATGTGACATACAAATGGCATTCCTTACACTGTGCACACTGGATACTTGATTCTTAATTGATTTCAGCAGAGTTTGCCATTAGCATGTTGCTAAGCTAATAGCTCCAAATTTGAATGTGCATAAAAACACATAAAATACAAATACTGAGGTATTCAGTTTTATTAGATTGATTTAAGTGCTTTCTCTGTCATCTTTAATGGATTTTTATGAAGTTTGTTGAGTTGCATTAAGGGTGTCATAATCAAATTGAGATACCTAGAGGAAGCTCACTACATTTTGGAACAGAGCCAGTTTTTTTTTTGCAGTCGGTTCCCACCGGCTGGTCAACCATTTTAACTGGTTGGTGTGCTGAGATGATGGCAGGGGAGCACACAGGTTGAGTAGGAACAAGTGTGGGTGTTTGTATTTTAGTCCTCGGAGAGAGCGGAGAGCGGGAAGGAAAGAGTATGATGAAGGATGAAGTGTCCATCTCCTTGGAAACCTGCTTGTTCATCATGAAAAGTGCCGTCTGTCAATAACTGTCCATCTCAGGATGTGCAGGGAAGTGGGGGTGGAGTTTTAATACATTTTCTGGATAATTCCTAGCAGCAAAGACAAGCCGTCACAAAGGTGAGGAAAACGGGAAGACAGATGTAAAGACAAGAAAATATTTGGGGTAGAAACGACAGGGGTTCGGGAGGGGGACTGGCACAAGGACATGGCAGAGACGGTGAAAGGGGAAATGTGTCTGGATTTGTGTCAGAATTTGTTTTGAAACAGTCATTCCATCATACAAAAGTTTGTCCAAATAAAAATTCCATCACCTCTAAGATTATGTACATTTTGAGTTCTTTTGTAGGTACGTTTGAAAAGCTTGATTGGTAAAGTTTTAGGGCTGCTCCTGTGTCCCAACGTTTGCTACCAGCTTGGCATTGTCCCTGGGATTGCCCGCTGGGCATTTAGAGTCACTAGGCTGAGGGTCGTGGCGACAGGCGTTAGGTGGGTGTCTGTTGGGCGTGCCAGGTGGAAGAGGCACCTGACCGTTCTTGTCGTCTGAAAAAAGTTGTTTAATTACGTCAAAGAAGTTACTCAATGGGCTGCCTAGGTACACAGATAGGAAGAAAAGGAAAAAAAGAGAGACAAAGAGAGAACAAATAGAGAAATGAACAATGGACTCACACGAGGAGAAGTGGACAGAAGGGGGAAAGAGATAGGAGAGGGAAGAGAAAGAGGAGGAAAATGTGAAGACTAAGACTTGGAGAAGCTTTGACGGCCACATCACTTAAAATGGTAGCTAGCTGGTTTCTAGCTGGCCATTAGCTTGTCCAAGCTGGCTTGCAACTGGAAATAAAAAACATAATCATGGTGTAGCTAGTGCTATGCTCTACGAGTTGAGCAACAGGAACATAGCCACAGCAACATAATTAGCTGCAGTTTAGACGGTTGATGAGAGATTGGCTGAGCTAGTAGACCATATTGGACCAGATAAATCATCTTGACTGCCAAATAAGCTTGACCTGGTTTTTCCAGCCCAAGTTCAACTAGGTTCCCACTAGCTGTTTAGCCAAATTAACACTCTTGGACCAGCAATAAACCAGCTTGCATGTTCTAAAAGCAACTTGACCATCTTAAGATGGTATGGCCTGGTTTTTACAGCAATGTCCTTTGATCAAGGTAGTGTACCAGCTCAGCTGGGTTCCTAACTGCTGGTAGTTCAGCTGGTCAACCTCTTAAACCAGTTTGGGACTAGCTATAATCCAGCTACTGTGTTCCATAACAGAGCTACCACTTTAAAATCAACGTGAAACAGCATTTACAACCCATTTTACTTCTGACAAGACGTATATCTGAGCAAAACAGAATATTCCCTCCAAAAAAACTAAGGTGGGACTTGTATGTTTTCCTGCAACCAAGTTGGTGTACCAGCTCAGCCAGGTCTCCAACGGCAAATAGTTCAGCTGGTCAACCATCTAAGCCAGCTTGGACCAGCTAGAAACCAGCTGCTGTGTTCCATAACAGAGCTACCACTTTAAAGTCAACGTGAAACAGCATTTGCAACCCATTTTACTTCACCCAGGACATATTTCCAAGTGAAAAAGAATAATCCTCCAAGAATTAAGGTGGAACTTGATTTTTTCTCTATAAGCAATTGTTTGCTGAGGTTCAAGATGGAATCAAATGTGAGTTTGTAGTTGATTGTTGTAGACCACTACTTTTTGAGGAGGCTATTTGACCTGGAGGTGGAGGTTGAAGGTCATCCCCAAGAGCATCTTTGACACTTCTTTTCAAATCTATTGTTATTTACTATTATTTGAAGTACCTACTTTAAAAGGCATTAAATTGCTTGTTAACCGGTGAGATTGGTGTAACAACAGTACCTAAAACAAATAAATACCTTTAGCTAACATTATTTCTGGCCAGGGGGCACCAGTTGGGCAGGTTAGTTGCAAGTTAGTTTTCAGTTATTTGCTAAAAGACAAACATCTTTTTATTAGGTTGTACTTGTAAATCATTTGAAATAAAACCAGGAACATGTATTACTAAAGTAAAGAGAGTTGATTTTGATTTCATGTTGATTTTAAAGATTAAAGATCGCGTAGCTACGCCTACGCCTACACCCACCTGTCAGTCAGGCCCACCTAGTCAGTTGCTTCACAAGGTAGCCTAATCATTGTGAATTCTGTTGCAATAATCACAATACTTGATCTATAAAAAATAAATTCTGTTGTTTCTTAATTCTTGTTTGCCATGTAATGATGAAGATAAGTTTGCAAACAGCCCCTTGCTGCTTAGCTACAGCAGAGATCACTGTATGCCATTATACATGCCTTTGTCCATATTAGGGTTTTCCTGGCACGTCACGTTACTTCTATGAGTCCGTTTTGTACTTTCTGCACGAGAGAGCGCCCTCCGGCTTCGAGTATGAATGAAACGTCCCCCGCGTATTCTACGCTCAAGCAGCTGAACAGCTCTGCTAGTGCTAACGTTAATTCACATATTTCTCCATCACCAGCAGCGCTCCATTCTCCAGCGTCTACCCAGCAACATAATTAGCTGCAGTTTAGACGGTTGATGAGAGATTGGCTGAGCTAGTACACCATATTGGCCCAGATAAATCATCTTGACTGCCAAATAAGCTTGACCTGGTTTTTCCAGCCCAAGTTCAACTAGGTTCCCACTAGCTGTTTAGCCAAATTAACACTCTTGGACCAGCAATAAACCAGCTTGCATGTTCTAAAAGCAACTTGACCATCTTAAGATGGTATGGCCTGGTTTTTACAGCAATGTCCTTTGATCAAGGTAGTGTACCAGCTCAGCTGGGTTCCTAACTGCTGGTAGTTCAGCTGGTCAACCTCTTAAACCAGTTTGGGACTAGCTATAATCCAGCTACTGTGTTCCATAACAGAGCTACCACTTTAAAATCAACGTGAAACAGCATTTACAACCCATTTTACTTCTGACAAGACGTATATCTGAGCAAAACAGAATATTCCCTCCAAAAAAACTAAGGTGGGACTTGTATGTTTTCCTGCAACCAAGTTGGTGTACCAGCTCAGCCAGGTCTCCAACGGCAAATAGTTCAGCTGGTCAACCATCTAAGCCAGCTTGGACCAGCTAGAAACCAGCTGCTGTGTTCCATAACAGAGCTACCACTTTAAAGTCAACGTGAAACAGCATTTGCAACCCATTTTACTTCACCCAGGACATATTTCCAAGTGAAAAAGAATAATCCTCCAAGAATTAAGGTGGAACTTGATTTTTTCTCCATAAGCAATTGTTTGCTGAGGTTCAAGATGGAATCAAATGTGAGTTTGTAGTTGATTGTTGTAGACCACTACTTTTTGAGGAGGCTATTTGACCTGGAGGTGGAGGTTGAAGGTCATCCCCAAGAGCATCTTTGACACTTCTTTTCAAATCTATTGTTATTTACTATTATTTGAAGTACCTACTTTAAAAGGCATTAAATTGCTTGTTAACCGGTGAGATTGGTGTAACAACAGTACCTAAAACAAATAAATACCTTTAGCTAACATTATTTCTGGCCAGGGGGCACCAGTTGGGCAGGTTAGTTGCAAGTTAGTTTTCAGTTATTTGCTAAAAGACAAACATCTTTTTATTAGGTTGTACTTGTAAATCATTTGAAATAAAACCAGGAACATGTATTACTAAAGTAAAGAGAGTTGATTTTGATTTCATGTTGATTTTAAAGATTAAAGATCGCGTAGCTACGCCTACGCCTACACCCACCTGTCAGTCAGGCCCACCTAGTCAGTTGCTTCACAAGGTAGCCTAATCATTGTGAATTCTGTTGCAATAATCACAATACTTGATCTATAAAAAATAAATTCTGTTGTTTCTTAATTCTTGTTTGCCATGTAATGATGAAGATAAGTTTGCAAACAGCCCCTTGCTGCTTAGCTACAGCAGAGATCACTGTATGCCATTATACATGCCTTTGTCCATATTAGGGTTTTCCTGGCACGTCACGTTACTTCTATGAGTCCGTTTTGTACTTTCTGCACGAGAGAGCGCCCTCCGGCTTCGAGTATGAATGAAACGTCCCCCGCGTATTCTACGCTCAAGCAGCTGAACAGCTCTGCTAGTGCTAACGTTAATTCACATATTTCTCCATCACCAGCAGCGCTCCATTCTCCAGCGTCTACCTCCCCTACACGCCAGTGTACAGGTACATGAATCTACATTTTCCTACTATGTAGTTGCCTGGTCACTGTTGTTTATTTCGTTTATGTGGCCGCTGGGCCAGACTATGACCAAGCATGGTTACATACTGTCCACTACTGTACTACTAGCTACTGTCCTGCTGATTTGATGCTGTCTGTCTGTCAGATGCGCGAGCTAGGCCCACCCAATTTTCTCTGGGCCCACCCACATTGTAATTCCTGGCTATGCTAGTGGTTTTAGCCCTGGTAGGTGTGAGGCACATGGGCTCATATGGCTTGATATAGCCAACATGAGAAAGGCTAGATAATTAGAAAAGGCTCTAAAGTAATGAGTGAAGTGATGTGGCATCTGTACATCTGTCACTGCAGAGAGAATTACACATAGATCAGTCAGGAAACACACATATGGGTACAATGTACCCTTTAATCTTCATTCTGCTCACTCCTCAAAATCACATAAGCCTATGACGTGTCATCTGTCCGGTTCAATTACACACCATATTATACAGGCGGAATATACATCAACAAGATATCATCAAGCTCTCTATATTCGGCCTTGTTTTTGTAATTATGTTCATGAAAAATAATTTTGGATGAAAGACTACAATGTCTACAAACATTGTTCACAAATGTTTTAATCAAAGTCTATACAGGCTTAGTCGATCAAAATTGTATTAGTCACAGGAAAAAAAAACCTTCAAATGTGGCTTATGAAACATGTAAGTAGTAGCATCATTAAATGGCCGCTCGCTTTAACACTAACCTCGAAAAATGCGCGCTATTGAAGTGTTTGTGTGGAGTGTGGAAGCTGAACAGTATCATGCTCACTGCATGACAGTTAACTTGGAGGCACCGGTGCGATCATTTGCATTTAACTTAAAATACTCATTTTTGCTCATACAGATAAGAGTAATTCATCTTTTGAATCTGTAAAAGGTCTACTTGCATTTGTGTGCACTCACAATAACAACAAATCATTGTGCTTTTGTAAAATAATGAAAGCAAATAGGGTGCGCTTTATGCCATCAAGGTCTCTTGAGCGTTAAAAAAAAAGGAACCTAAGCTCCTGTTTGCCTCACAGACATGAAAATATATAAACAGAAAGCAAAATGTCTACTTTTAATTGAACCAGATCAAATGGAAAACAAATATTTTCAGATTATGTAATCCATATAATGTGCACGTCCACTGTGGAGTTTATCAATGAATTATTATAATGTTAAGGCAGTCTTCTTGCCGTTTTTTTCCCTGAAGCATTCATAATCATTACTTCTGCTACTGTGGCAAGCTTTATGCGTGCACTTGAGTACTGATAGGCTATAGGCAATTAAAGGTTCATTATTATGAATTATATGGTATATTAATATGTACGTGCGATTAGTCGACTAATCGCTTCAAATAAACGACTATTAGTCGATCAGAAAAATATTTAGTCGAGGGCAGCCCTTTTTTATCCTGTGGCAAAAAAAGCTTTCATAATATATCAGAAGCTTAGGTTATTAGCATTTACACATTATCCTTCACGCAATTACATTATAAAAAGCATGCAACATTTAATTAAACAATTTAAACTGTTTCAGATATTTGAATAACTTTCAAATACTCAGTGGCATAAACCTCAAACTTTGGCAAATGCAGTAAGTAGTTCCTTCACTCATTCTAAGAGAAGTTCTGTAAACTTTTTGTTTTTTGGCAGGCTATTAAAAACCTGTGCATCCTGATTGCTGGAACTGGCGACTGGAAATGGCGATTTTCAAAATGTATTGGCATTTGTGTGTAATATGCAGCGGTCTGTGAATAGTCCATCTGAGGCTCAGACTAGCCTTGAGCTAACTGACTGCATGAGAAAACCCCCTTTAGTGTACTTGATTTAGGATACTTCCAAACTCATGAATACACATGCAAACCTGCACAACTACACCAACTGGCACACAGTGGTGTAGGGTTCATTTGAACATTTAGGGGCACATCAGAGCCTCTGGTGTACATATGGACAGCCTCATATGTTTGGCTCACATAGTCAAGAAATTAAGACCAGATTTGTAAGCCACATACACACTAAGAAGATAACAACCAGTTTATGTTGTGCTCATTTTAACAGTAAGTGCACAAAACCTAAAAAAAAAAAACTGTGCCACACAATTACTGATTCAGTTACGTTACACGTGAAAAGGTATTTATGGGATTGGGTGCACTTTAAATAGGATGTAAGGACATGGGTCATTACAAGTGCTGTGATTATCACAGGTTTATATAAAGAAGGTGGATGTGTGCGTGATAAAGTAGTTAGTGACCCCAAAAACTTTTTGGACACTTAAAGAGATAGTTCACCCAAACAGGAAAATTCTGTCCTCATGTCTGCAGAAGAATGAAAGCCATACAGGTTTGGAAAAACATGAATGTGAGTATACGATGATAGACTCTTTATTTTTGTGTGAACTATCACTTTAAGTCACACTTATAACCTAGGCTCATTGGAAATACGTGCCTCTATATACATTTCTGCAAAACTGAAAAAACTTACCTATTTGTACGAATCAATGCAGTTTCCAGTTGAAATGAACACTAGAGGCAGTAGCACTCCGACGACTTTTATTCCTTTTACTCCTTTTCACACAAAGTATGATTACAGGTACAGAGTTTCGATTAATTTTCACACAATTACTTGCAGAATAGTATGTTATGACTTTAAAACAATTTTAACATCCTGGCCAATTTGATACTTTTGAATGTTTTCGTCACATATACAGCTTCATATGCATGAGTTTTCTAATACAGTAGGTTTGCTCGGTAGCTCACGTGATACGGCGTTGCACTTGAGTGATGACGAGCTCGGTACGAACCCCGTTAAAATACGGTTCGATAAAACAAATCTGCATAAGGAAGTTAAAATAGCACGGCTGCATCAGCAAATGCTGTTTATATCACTATTGTATTTGTTAACACTATCGGGTAGGTTTAGGGTTGGGTTGGGTTTGGTATGGGGGATATTGCTAACACGACAGAGCATTAACCTTTAGCGACACTCCCCGGATATTTGAATTCTGAACAGCCGCAATACCTACCTCAAATAGCATAATAAAAACGCAGCAATACGTGCCTGTACCAACCTAATAAAAACGTGCCACGGTCACTTATTGAACGTGTAGAATGAAAGCCATACAGGTTTGGAAAAACATGAATGTGAGTATACGATGATAGACTCTTTATTTTTGTGTGAACTATCACTTTAAGTCACACTTATGATTATTGTGATGTTTTTATCAGTTTGGACTCTCATTCTGACGGCACCCATTCACTGCAGAGCATCCATTACTGAGCGAGTAATGCAATGCTACATTTCTCCAAATCACAAACTCATCTACATCTTGAATGGCCTGAGGGTGAGTGCATTTTCAGCAAATTTTAATTTTGTTAGCTAACGCAATGACATTCAGACATTTTTAAGTGTGACTCAAGTGTCTAAATACTCTCTGGGCCACTGTAATTGTGCTGCAAGTCTTACCACACTTTGACTTTGAGACTTTAGCGGGTTTTGCAGCACACTGAGAGATCTCTGTGAGAGAGTAACATGCGTGTTGACACGAGACAACACTATCAGCGCAGCCTGAAAAAAAAAAAGTTTGAAATTCCCTAAATCTTTTTTTGGTTTATGAATTGGATCAGCGCATTAGCTTCACTGTGTACGCTCTTCATCATGCCCATGTGAAGCAAATGAGCAATTTCCAATTAACAAGCATGGGGCCAGATGTCTTCATCTAGACTGCATTAGGGGCAAGAAGACTTCGGTTGGGTGGTTATTAGACAAGTTTGTGTGGATAATTATGCTTGTTTGGAATAAAAATAGTTTTTATGAATCTAAAGAACATTGGGAGGTTAGTTATTTGCATACACACAGAAAACCACAACCTCCTACACAAAATAACATAATTAAATCCATAATTTAAGTGTCTATTTTTGGAGTGGTGAGTGTAATCTGACTGCAGTGTGTATGTGCCACTCATCTGCAGTGCAGTAGTGCGTTCAAACCACAGTGAGTCATACAGCACTGAATGAGACACGGTGACGTGTTTAAGAGAAAGCAAAGGAGAGAGAAAGAAAGACAGTGGGGTGGGAACAGAAAAGGACGACAGGAGGAGAAAAAGCAAGGATCTACTTTCTTGAGATGGTCTTGGATGTCTTTCTCTTGCCCAACACTCCCTAAAACCTCCCCATTATTAAATACTACTTCATTATTAAATGCTATTTCATGAACTGTACTAGAAGTTACTAATTACTAATATGTGTACATATATAGCGGGGTTCAAAATACCACTGGAAAAAATGACTATATTTTGCTTAAAAAAAAAAAAAACTTTTGATTTAAATAAATAAATTATATTATTATCAGCAAAACAATTTCAGTGAAAAGTTTAATTTATTGGAATAATATAATACAAAATTAAGCATAAAAAAATAAAATTATCAATATTATCAATAGCCATTACTCCAGTCTTCAGAAATCATTCTAATACGCTGATTTACTGCTCAAGAAACATATAAAGCAAGGCTAAGTATAATGAATTATTATAAATATCTTTTATTGTAAATTTGATCTTTTTTAAATTAAATTGACCAAAAAAGTGACTGTAAAAACATTTTAATGTTACAAAGGTTTTGTTTCAAATAAATTGAACTTTTCATTCATCAAAAATCATGAAAAATATGTTTCCCCAGAAATATTAAAAAACATTAAGCAGCAAAAACTTTTCAACACTGATAATAATAATAATAATAATAATAATAATTGAGCAACAAATCAGCATATTAGAATGATTTCTAAAGAATCATGTGACATTAAAGGCTGGATTAATGTTTTGCCATCACAGGAATAAATTACATTTTAATTACATTTAAAATTACATTTTTTTCTATCATATTCAAATAGAAAACAGTTCTAATAATATTTCACACTATTACTGTATTTCGGTCAAATAAATGGAGCCTTTCATTTATATAATTATTCTAAATTATATTTGATAATTTAGAATAATTATTATTAGCCATATACAGACCCATCATATTTTGTCAGAGTGTTGAACAAATACCAGGAAGAGAGCATCAAAGTTGTTAACTATAACTAAATATCCCTGGAGCTCCATTACCAGTAGTTACTGAAACAATCATATTGGGGTGTGCATTTGGAAAATTGCATATACAATTATATGCATTGTTTTTTTTTGTATTAGATGCTGTTGTTTGCCTAACAGACCACTAGGTAGAGCTGTTATCAGGGAGATGGTTGGGACACAGCCAAATAGCATCATGTGTCAAGAAGAGAGGACATGAACGGAGAATAGGATGGAAAAGTGGCTTTTCTTTGCGATTCTCCCTTGAAAAAACAAAAAATCTCATACTCAGCCGTTCATCCTTGATGCTCTGGAGAGTTCAAGGTAATAGAGGGTATATACGCAGGAAAACTTTTCCAGAATTTGATATTTTATAATAATGCTCCTGATTTGTGTGCTCTGGTTGGTTTAGCGCAATAGCTGATGCAGACAGAGCAAGACGTCGGTTTTAGGGTTATCCCGACCTAAAAAGGTAGCAGGAACCTTTACATAACCAGTCCAGATTGGTCATCCAACAAAGACACCGTGTCCTAAAACTAGAAATCATGACGGTGAAGTGTCCATATTTGGAGAACTGTCAGAAAATCTACCGGTAATGCCGTCTGAGAAATGGGAGCAGCAGTGTGGCCTGAAGGGAATCACCACGAATTGGAAAACTCCCCTTGTCTTCTAGCGTCCCAGTGGGGATTGCTTTAGGGTAGGGATCATGTGGAGAATACTGTGATGCTGTGTTGTGGTGTGCTGACATGCATGATGGAGGAGGGTTATAAACAGGCATGAGAGGGATCGTGGGGCTTGGGACGGGGGGATTTATACTCACCAGACAGCTGCTGGACTCCCGGCTGGTCGTGTGTGCTTAACAACTGCGCCTGAATCGTTTCTACCACCCGCTTGAAACGCCGGCTTGGACCTACAATACAGTGTGAGAGATCACATATAAAACCCCGTTGACATTTTGAAACAGGAAGTTGGGAGGGGTTTCCTTAATACCGATTAATCGAGTACTCGTTCACTTAGTTTGCACTCTAGTGAAAAAAAGCTCCACAGACAAACGATTTGAGCTTTTTAAGAATCTGACAGGAATTTATTGTAAAACTACTTGTAACTTGCAGTCTTTCTTATCTCTGCTAGGTGGACAACAACATTATTTAACATCCTGCACGCTGTAGTGGATAAGAGCTGCTGCTGGCGCTATCATGAGGAGACATAATGGATATTAATGGCAGAAAATAAGGGAGAATAATGCATTAGATGATGCATTATTTATAGGTGTTCTATTTATCTTATGTTGTTATTGTGACCTGCAGTATACTGATGGGATAATTAGTGTGTAAGAGGCTATTTGACTCATTTTGAGAATTAAATGGACATTTTTGTAAGAATTGTTCCTTAGAGGACAGAAAGAAAATTCCTGGCAAGACTAAATGTAAGGAATGGGCTTTATGTTAAATATTTACAGTATATTATTATACAATATGTTGCAATGACTTTGTGCACATATCTAAAATGTTGCTTGTCCGTTATGTTTCTTCAAGGCATACGTTTCTCATTCACTAACTATGCGTAAGCACCCATTTGTGAGTGAAATCGTGCAAACACTTTACATAACTTATAACATTTGTACTCAAATGTATTGCTTATTAATGAAAAAAAAATGTAGGAACAACTAAAACCACATGTATGCACATACTCTAGGTGGCCTCATATACGTTAGTCTTAATCATATTTCATCATACATATGTGTCATATGATTGCTGAGCCTGAGAGTGACAAAAATCTGCAAAGGAAAGATTGTTTTGAAAAGTCCTTACATGGATATGTTTTGGATGTGTTTTATGCAAATGACTAACCTTGGACACACGGATGCTAATTTATAATACTCCAAATACATTAACAAAAGAATGCAGTTCAGACCGAATTCATGTACGTACAGTGTTGTGAATTAGGCGGACAATTTTTGTTAGAAGTTCTCCTATGTTAAATATTAATAATCTGCTAAATTATTACTGAATGAGACTCAATGTCATTAGACTACAATGTAACCATTTTTTTTGAAGTTGTAAATAAAACTAAGATAATTGGAGTAGGTCTCCAAAAAATTATTATTTCAGTCTTTTTAACTCAGAATTTAATTCAATGTGTTGCTTGCTGTTTCTCTGTGAAATTTACTGACAATTTCTGAGTGAAAATTGTATTAAAATGAATAATAAACAAATATTTTAACCTTGTATATCAACTATGTTTAGGTTTATTGGTGAATATAAATAGAAATTTTGTAATTGTATTTATTATTTATTTTATATTTTTGGGCGAATATATATTGCAAAATATATGACATAATACGACATATATAATATGACATATATGAAAAAATACTCTTAATCTATTTAAGAGCAAATACATGAATATCGAAATACATACTGATCGTCAAAAGGCAGAAAATATCAAGTTATATTTTTTAGCGTTTTTCATCCAGCCATATTGCCAAGCTTGACCCAACTAGTGCGCTACATTGGATAATTTTTTTCCTTTTAAAAATACTGTTACAGGTTATTCTGACAGATTTAATGAAAGTATCCCAAATATGCTTCAACATCATGGAGAAAGATAAAATAATTCACCTTTTACTGTATGGCTATGTTCTTTTATTTCAAGCAACGCTGGTGTTCTATGGTCTTGATGAGCGCTGATGTAGTAGCGGCTTGATTGCGGTTGCTGTGGTTACCTGAGAGCAGAGTGAAGGTGACTGAATAAATGCCATTCTCCTTGGTGGCCGCGGTGCTCTCGGTGTACGTGATGTCGACCTGGAACTTAACAGGCTTCTGGAAGACGGTGGGGCCGGCGGTGGATTTGTACTCGGCCCGAAAACTCATCTGCGAGACAACGCTGTGACTGAGGCTGGGAATCTGAGGAAGGCAAGGATCGATCCACTGTTACATATTTGGAAGCACCTATGAAGAACATCAATGGGAACTTGGAAAAGTGTGGCTGTTTATTAAGGTGTGGTCACATGTACGTTTATTTGGTGAATTTTCGCGGGTGAAATCCAGTCATTTCAATAGGAATCTAGGTCTTTGGGAATTTCAGATCTCACAGACTTCGCAATTAGGTTCAAGTCAACATGGGAATTCACAAAATGCTGCTTTATTTAAAAGTGACTTCTGAGTTTCACTACGCTATTGCCAATGGATGTTTTTTTTGCCCGCAAAATTTCACTGAAATTTCTCCATTTACCAGCGCTTGGGAAATGGTCACGAGCAAAATCCAGTCATTGCAATTGGAAAGTTTGGGAATTTCGCGTAAGGGTGAATGATTTCCACATGCAGATTTCATTTCGAGTTCAAGCTGGTCATGGGAGTTCACTGTGTTGACCCAAAGAAAGCTGCTTGAGTTATGCTACTCACAACGCTACCGGTGCTGGGTAGTAACTGATTACATGCTATCTGGATTATGTAATCAGATTCCGACAATTAAAGGATTAGTTCACTACCAGAATAAAAATTTCCTGAAAATTTCAGGATTTTATCAATGCAGCTTCAAAGGGCTCTACACGATCCCAGCCGAGCAATAAGGGTTCTTAAAAAATAAAATTGTACATACTTTTTAACCACAAATGCTCATTTTGCACTAGCTCTGCGATTCGCGTCCATGACTTCACACAATACGTAATCACATTGGAAAGGTCACGCGCTGTTAATTCTTCGTCTGTGTACTCCGGTTCAAAAAGGTAGGGTGGGGCAAAAAAATAATTTTCTCCAACTTCAAAATAGTCTGATATCACTGTTTTACCTTTTATTTGTAAAGAGCGTTTGATTTTCTTTGCACGTTCGCTGTGTTAAACACTGGGTCGGTACTTCCAACTAAGTCACACGTGACCTTTCCAACGTGACTTTGTAATGCGTGAGGTCAAGCAAGTGCAAGACGAGCATTTGTGGTTAAAAAGTATATACATTTTTTTTTAGAAAATGACCGGTCGTTTCGCTATATAAGACCCTTATTTCTCAGCTGGGATTGTCTAGAGCCCTTTGAAACTGCAATTTAGACCTTTGGATAGTTGATCTCCATTGAAGTCAACTATATGGAGACAAATCCTGGAATGTTTTCCTCAAAAACCTTAATTTATTTTCGACTGAAGAAAGAAAGACATGAGGATCTTGGATGACATGGGGGTGAGTAAATTATCAGGACATTTTTATTCTGGAAGCGAACTAACTTATTAAATTACATTTTAAAATACTTGCTATTGGACTACAGTTACTTTTTTATTGATTACATGATTACATATTATTCACACAATAGCAATAAATTAATCACAATTCACCTAATGTATTTACCCCCTAAGATTTTAAGGTAGCAAGTTAATAATTATGTAACACATTTGCATGTTCACAGTCCTCTGATGCAGGTTAATGTCACATGACATGCAAGTAAACAAAATATTTTATATATTATTTTCTTTCTCTTTGTATTTCTTATATCTATATTGTACAACATTATGCTATTTAAATCAATGAGATAAACGAGTTAGGTCAAAAGTAATCAAAAAGTATCCGATTATATCAAATGTGTAATGTAACTGATTACATTCCTAACTACAATTTAATGTAATTTGGAATAAGTACCAGACCACAATTAGTAAGTAATCTACCTAGCACTATTGACACTCAACTTTTATTCTGCAGAAACTGTGCTAATATGACCGCACCTTTACTTTTGCATAACTGAAGGCGAGGAAAACGTCGCTAATCATGACAAGCAAGCTTTTAAGCGCACATTTAAAATGGGTCTAAACGGCAGACTAAACTCCCTTCTCTTCTGCACAAACCTCTTGAGGCACAACATCTATATGCTAATGATTCATGCCCTGCGTTGATTTTTCATTGACCTCTAATGAAAGAGGCAGCCACGGGGAGGATGGAAACATCACAGACTAGCATTTTACAGAATTGAAACACAAATCAGAAAGGTATTTGCAAATGTAAAAACACAGGCTTCCGGCCAAGCCTATTAAAGCCAGTGCGACGGGCAAAGTCTTTCAATCTGATAGAGAGAACGCAGAACCATATATTCAAATATTCATAGCTGTCGTTTACAACAGAGGACTGAAACGGGATTGGAGGCATGCAAAAGAGATTGCTTACCGAGAGAAAGGCGTGGACGATGTCGGCTTTTATAGAGCTCAGTGGCTTGTCCCTAATAACCACGAAGATCTGCTCCTCTTTCTCCAGATTGATGAAGTTACCAAACCAAGATTTTTTGGCAAGTCTGCAGAGTGAGAGAAATATGAAACATGAAGCTTTTATGAAGTCTTCAGGGGATACAAGGTCAGTCCTTATCAGAGCTCAGAATAAGATAGATCCTATGGCGCATATGCAAAATGAATTGATATTGAATAATTCATAAAAGGGAGTATGTGAAAGAACGGCACACAGCAGAGGGTCTACAAATTAACATGATGAACTTTGCATGAGGTCATATTGATGGATAGGACAAAAGTCAAAGAAGTTGTATAAAAATCCATAAGGTGCTCTTGTCTCATAGCTAAAAAAAAATGTGTTTAAGGAAGTCACTGGTTACAATATTCAAAAATATGACTGCAGAAATTTTAGAAGACTTGCCAAGTTGGATCACATATTTAGAGGCGCACAACGCAGTTGCACTGACCTCTACAAAGTCTTGGGTACAACTTTTCAGTTAAATTGGCTATGATAAAAAATTGTTTGGAAGATGTATCTATAATTTAATGAATGGGCTCTGAATTGTTAATCATTAACACCCACTGTAGCATTTCTGTAAAATTCATAAAAGATGTATCCACATGTTTGAATATTTATGGAATGTTGCCATGTTTATATTTGAATATACAGTATTTTAAATTAAATATATATTCTAGATTTATAACCGTTTATATCAGTTTTTTAATATAATTTAATACTTCAGAATTTAATACTTTTACTCAGCAAGGATGAATTATATTGATCAAGTGACAGTAAAGACATTAATAATTTTACTTTAAAAAAAAAAAATTAATTATGTTCTTTTGGACCCCATTTGTCAAAGAGTTCAGAGTCCTATGGCCGAATCACAGCCATGCTGACCATAGACAAAATTTCCACACATTTTTTTTTTTTATATTGTTTTGACCATTAATGATATTAAGAAATGTTTCTTGATATTTTTAAGTGTAATACTCTTTACCATTTAATATATCAGTGAACATGTTGACTTTGCATTGCTAGAAAGTTGTTATATTTGTAGATAAACTGTAAATATATTTCTGTACGTTGCTACAATACATTTCAGAGTATAAGTCATATTTAGGAAAATATATTATTAAACAACTGTTGCATTTTTGCTGCAGTAGGTCACTCAAAATTAAAGCATCTCTATTGATGAAAAAATCAAGCAAAGCCCCTGGTGTTTAAACTAGCACCTGTAATTTGGTCTCGTTTTAGTATATAAAGAAATAACCGTCTGTCTAAAAAGCAGATCGCTCTAGCTCTAAAAAGCTTCAGTCCGCCACTGTTGTGTATCAACAAAGCACAGTCGCTCGCAACTTAGCTTCCAGAAACTGATTTATGGCAGAGGATGACAAAAGAAAGCAGAGAGCGCCGCGGCTTATCCAGCTGGCGTGGAAAGCAAGAGAGAGGTGGATAAGTTATGGAAGACAAAATAGAAAACAAAAGAGGATGAGGGATCACTCCGTTTGGGGGAGAGAGAGTTTGTGACTGCTGTCTGCTGTGTGCTGAGACCCACCTCAGTGGGAGAAAGATATGACTGAGCTTCCATTAGACTGGAAAAATAAGACTAAATGGTTTAACCGAGGCAAACATAACTCACAATGATTTCTGAAGTGCTGAGGAGGGTTTACATCAACACTGTTGTTGGGTAAGTATTGTTCAAGGTCTACTATTCGTCTTTTTCAGAGGATGTTTCTCGGCGGCTGCATTTCCAGCATAGAACTGACTTAATGGTAAGCTGGAAACGCATTATGGCATTTTTATGGAAATCAAACGTCCCGATAATAATAATAAAACCTGAAATCAACCTACACTGTAGGGATCTCCCAATGGCACCAATGATAACAACAGGTAAATAAAGGGAGTAAAGAAAATTTACATATCATTTATATGACAATATTAATTAAAAGTACACTAGACCAGGTCTTATCATGAGTAGCAAAAGAAAAAGAAAAGAAAATTAATAAAATTCCCAGCAGTAAGTGATCCAAGAATTCCAAGAATGCACCCTCTCTCTAAAATAAATAAAATATTAGAATAAATGCATAGAAAAATAATAAAAATAAAATTATGCTTTCTATTTCTCTCATGAAAAGGGTTCATGGCTCCTGAAAATAAGTATAATAAGCCTAATAAAAAAGACAACAGCAGTCAATGGGAAATCTGTAACATGCTATAAAAAGCTGTGTACTCACTCTGGGGAAGACTCTGGTGTAAGGCTGGACATTTCCTCTTGAGTGGGAACTGTTCCGAGTAAAGCAAGGATGTTAGCATGTTCCATTTTTGTAATTAATCAAAGTTGTGTATCATTTTAAAATAGTTTTCTAACTAATTCAACATCTCAGTATGTCGGATAGATATAATTAGAGCCTATAGTTGCATGCAAAAGTGCATCGTTTGTGAGTATTTGTCTCATGTTGCCCGTTTAGCTTGGGATTAAAGGTTATGCCAGCAATAAAACTGGATCATTAAGGGGTCGCATGCAGGAGAAATTATTTAGAAATGGAAACTGATGCTACTGAAACAATGTGAGGTGGTAACCATGGTAGCAGGCTTAATATTAGTTTACAGTCAGTATGTAAATCAGAGCATTTAGCCACAACAAGCCATGAAACAGATCCAGTCAAACTGGAGGAGGTAAGAGCTTTATTTCAGGCCTATATTGACTCAATGTAGAGTGACTGCATTAAGAGGGATTTGGAAGATCTAGTCAAAATCATCTTATTCTCCCTTTGTTGGCCACCCAAACAATTCCAGGTGTTTGTGACTTATTACTGAGCCAAAAGCAAACCAAGTTTATTTAAACACCCCATAAAACAGTTTCAGGGGGAAAAAAGTTTTTGATGAAATCCAAGAGTTTTCTGACTCTCCATAGAAAGTATCAGAACTACCACATTCAAGGCCCAAAAAGGTAGTAAGGACATTGATAAAATAGTCCATGCGACATCAGCGGTTCAACTGTAATTTTATGAAGCTACGACAATACTTTTTGTGCACAAAGAAAACAAAAATAACAAATTTATTCAACAATTTCATCTCTTCCGTGTTAGTCTTCAATGTGCGTTCACAAGAGTATCACGACGCATGCGTATGGTGCCACTGACGCAGAAGCTGGCATTCTGATGTTGAACCCGGATGCGCTGTGGCTTGTTTACAAGCAGAGGAATGCATACACATGCGTCATGGTTCTCTTGTGAATGGCAGCAGAGACTGACCCAAAAAAGAAGAAATTGTTGAATAAAGTTGTTATTTTTGTTTTCTTTGCGCATATAGTATTCTCGTAGCTTCATAAAATTACAGTTGAACCACTGTCACAGACTATTTTAACGATGCCTTTACTACCTTTCTGGACCTTGAACGTGGTAGTTCCAATACTGTCGGATTTCATCAAAAATATCTCAATTTGTGTTCTGAAGATGAACAAAGGTCTTATGGGTTTGGAACGACATGAGGGAGAGTAATTAATTACAGAATTTTCATTTTTGGGTGAACGAACCCTTTAAGACTACAATATACTTCAAGTGAAATCGAAGAATGCACTGGTGTGTTTACTTTGGCTAGTAAACACTTTCGAGCTACCATTGGTCACTGGCAATTACATAATAGGTAGGTGTGCTCTTACATACTCATCTAAACCCGCTCACAGCAGTGTGGGCGGCGTCTGGATGTTCATTAACACTATATCGCTGCAAAGATATTTTGAACTTCTTTTTACCCCTAAGCAAAGAACGAATAAGAAATTTACCATGAGTGTATCATGGGCTTTAAGGGGACACAGCATTCTCATTCTAGACCAGGGGCATCCAAACCTGTTCCTGGAGGGCCATTGTCCTGCAGAATTTAGCTCCAACACAAGCTAATCAAGGTCTTCAGACTCACTAGAAACTTCCAGTCAAGTGTGTTGGAGCTGTTAGGAACTAAACTCTGCAGGACGTTGGCCCTCCAGGAACAGGTTTGGACGCCCCTGGTATAGAGCCTTTTATTGGACAAGAATCTATAAGACAGGGGTTCTGAACTTTGGCCCTTGAGGTCCACTGTAGAGTTTAGCTCCATTCCTAATCAAACACAACTGCCTGTAGCTTTCTAGTGATTCTGAAGACCTTAATGAGTTTGTTCAGGTGAGTTTGATTAGGGTTGGAGCTAAACTCTGCATTAAAGTGGACCTCAAGGGCCAGAGTTGAGAAACCCCTGCTATAAGACAAGACGACATCATCAACATTGTTGGCTCATTGTTGGTTATCTCAAAAGAGAATGTGTTATTCTTGTCAACTTTTATGAGTACAATAATATCTAGATTTGCCTCAAAGCTAACAGAAATGGATTAAACACCACATAACTATAATTTTGATTTCATGGTGTCGTGAATTGTAGCCTGGACATCCATCCAGAGTTTTACCTTTCTTCGGCCCGAGATGCTGGGATAGGCACCAACATCTCCGCGACCCTACTTAGGACAAGTGGTTTGGAGAATGCATGGATAGATGAATTGTAGCTTGTTTACTCTATCCACCAATACCTTGCAGTTTCCTGCGGTGAAAGCGTGGTGAGCCCAGGATGCTGTTCTTGATGGAGTTGAGGCGCGTCTTCCAGGGCATTCCCCCGATGGAGGGGCTGGGGGGTGGCGTAGGGGTCGGCGTCCCCGCTGGGCTGTCCTTAGGCGTGTGCACAGGCGTTCCTTTGGGGGTGGGGATAGGGCTGCCCCTTGGAGAGGGGTGGGGGGTCACCTGTATGGTGGGGATAGATTTGGTGGTGTGGTCAGAGCCGGGAACAGGGTGGAAGTGGTGTAGTCGGATAGGGGAAAGAGGGGCAACAGGCCTAAAGGGGACCAAGAGTTGAGGGGGTATGATGGAGGCTGGGGTTGCCCGCCGCACCAGTGGGCTTCCCGGTATACAGGGTGCTTGAGGTTGACATGGAGTCGAAGGTTCTGACTTGGCTGTCGAAATGTGTTCGGGCTCAGATTCAGGTAAGGGGTTTGATCTGGCGGATTGTAAGGGTTTGTCTTTGGGTTTGGCTGGAAGAGTTTGGGTCTTTGGGCAGGGCAAGAGAGACTCAGATATAGAGTTTGGCGTTAGGGAGTTAGAAGTGGGTTTTTTTGACTCGTTTTGATCCGAGTTTGGTTTTAGGGAGTCAGTGATACTAGAACTGGGGGACAAGAGCAGCTCAGTGGACTGAGGTGGGACACAGAACTTTCGGACAGGCTTTGGGGGAAGGTGAGAACCAGAGCAGAACACATCGAGATATACAGGCAAGAGACAAAGCATTGTGGGTAAAACACACAAAAAGGGAAGGAATAATTTAAGGAGGAATAAGGAGCCATGGTGGTGTAGAAGAAAAAAAAAAGCATGCAGTTAGCCAAGACTGGTGAGCGAAAGATGCAACAAGACCATTGTGAGGAGCAAATCAAGTCTTTTCAGGAACACCAAAGAAAGCTGCCAATGGGAAAATAAAAAGGGATTTAAGAGCAAATATTCTGCCGTGAAATGAGCAACTTGGGTATCAAACAAAAAAATCATGTATTAGAGGTGTGGACAATGTAATTTGCAGTATGAATTTGGACTTATGCTCAGAATCAGCTGTTAACAAACTAACGGCAAAGAAATGCAATGCCTGACTGTGTCCAAGTTTTGAACCATGTATAAACCTTCAAAGCTTGTAAGCATCTGAATATGAATGTCTCAAAATACAAAAGCTACCAAGTTGCAGAAATACTTCAAGCACTAATCTTCTCTTCACAGCTGGAATCCAGAAAAGTAATCAAAGCAAACAAATTCACAAAAGTAACAAGCAGTACATTAACCTAATTTATGTCAAACATAAAAAGACTTCAAATTTTCATGTGACATACAAAACAGAGGTTTAGAGTGAACTTCTAAATCAATTTCCACTTGGAATCAACACTATACGTTGGCAAGCTTTAGGGTAAGGCCTTGGTAATCTGTGAGCCGTCTTAAACAAGCCAACTGGAAAGGTTTAGCCAAGAGCTTCTGTGCTAATCAGAGGAGTGGGATTTTCTACAGCGTTCCCTGAGCTGGATTTCCACTTGGGGAAAGACACAGAGAGCAGCAGATAGGATGAAAGAGTATATCTCCATGAAACAAAAACGGCTGTCTTCTGCAACTCACTCTTGCACGATTTCCTTCCTTGTTTACTTTGCTTGCTAGAGAACAGACAGCTATTTCCAAGGTTCCTACACCTTATGACTGGTTCATTTTCATGAGCTTTTAAGTCATACATGCTGGATAAGGATTTTAAAAAAATAATAATTTCCCATGTCTCAATAAAAAGCACGGAATTGTCAGTGATCACCAAAACACTTACCTAGTGGTTTTGTTAACTGAAATAAAATAGACATACCGAAATAAAATTAAATACTAAAAAAGTATAACTTTTTTCAGCTACTTGCCAAAGCACCATTTCTCCTTTTCATTTAGATTAACTTGACATACCAAAATAGCTAAAACTAAAAAACTGAAATTAAAATTAATGAAAGCTATTTTGGCATATAAAAAACCCCCCTGAAACTTAAAATGTAAAAAAAAAATAATAATAAAATATATATATATATATATATATATATATATAAATAAAAACTCTAATATACAAAATTTGAATTATTTTTCAATATAACAGCATCTCAATACTACCAAAAACATTGCTGGCCAAAGCAACATTTTAAGTTTTGTTTAGTTTAGTACTGAGATTATAAAAAATAAATAAACTCTAAAAACTAAAAACTGAAACTTAATAAAAACAATACATAACTTAAAATATTAATAATAATAATTTAAATATATATTATAATATAATAAAAATTACAAAAACTTTACAATTAAAATAAAAAACATATAAAAAAAAATTTAATTGAAAATATTCACAAAACAATTATAATAATATATCAATGAAACTAAAAAGCACCACTACATACTCTGTATCATGAGCACTTTGCTTGTTAATAACATCTGACATATATATATATATATATATATATATATATATATATATATATA